GGTGGCTCACGCCTGTAATCCCAGTACTTTGGGAGGCCGAGGCGGGTGGATCACGAGGTCAAGAGATCGAGACCATCCTGGTCAACATGGTGAAACCCCGTCTCTACTAAAAATACAAAAAATCAGCTGGGCATGGTGGCGCATGCCTGTAATCCCAGTTACTCAGGAGGCTGAGGCAGGAGAATTGCCTGAACCCAGGAGGCGGAGGTTGCGGTGAGCCGAGATCGCGCCATTGCACTCCAGCCTGGGTAACAAGAGTGAAACTCCGTCTCAAAAAAAAAAAAAAAACCATGTATTTAAGTGTGTTATAGGCTGAATATCATGGCTGACGCCTATAATCCAGCCCTTTAGAAAGTTCAGGTCAGAGGATTGCTTGAGCTGAAGAGTTTGAGGCTACACTCGGCCATGACAGCACCATTACAATCTAGCTGGGGTTAAAGGGCAAGACCCTGACTCAGAAGCAATAAAATTGACAAAGACGGTTAGTACTTGTAAAATAGTTTACTCGAAAACAGCATTGGCCGGGCGCCCAGGTGCATGCCTGTAATCCTAACACTTTAATAGTGGCAGGCGGATTGCTTAAGTCTGGGCGTTTGAGACCAGCCAGGGAAATGTGACAAAACCCCATCTCTAGCAAAAAATACAAAAATTAGGCCAGGCGCACTGGCTCATGCCTGTAATCCCAGCACTTTGGGAGACTGAGGCAGGGGGATCACAAAGTCAAGAGATCGAGACTAGCCTGGCCAACATGCTGAAACCTTTCTCTACTGAAAAGTACAAAAATTAGCTGGACGTGGTGGTGCACACCTGTAGTCCCAGCTACTCAGGAGGCCAAGGCAGGAGAATTGCTTGAACCCGGGAGGTGGAGGTTGCAGTGAGTCAAGGTTGTACCACTGCACTTCAGCCTGGCATCAGTGAGACTCGGTCTCAAAAAAAAAAAAAAAAAAGTTAGCCAGGCATGATAGTGTATGCTTGTAGTCTCAGCTAATAGGGAGGCTAAAGTGGCAGGATGGCTTAAGATTGGGAGATGGAGGTTGCAGTGAGCTGGGATCCACCACCACACTCCAGCTTAGATGACAGAGTGAGACCCTATCTCAAAAATTTATTTAAATGTACTAAGAAGCCCCATATCAATATTATCTTTCTAGATAACAGGTATAGCTGGGCCATCTTGTAGAGCAAGTGGTCTGTTCATGTTCAGACAGAGCAGAAAGCCTATACATTGCTGGACAGTGTTAAAAATGCAAGTGCAGACCGGGCGCAGTGGCTTATGCATATAATCCCAGCACTTTCAGAGGCCAAGGTGGGCGGATCACAAGGTCAGGAGATGGAGACCATCCTGGCCAACATGGTGAAACCCCGTCTCTACTAAAATATAAAAAATTAAGCAGGCATGGCATTATGTGCTTGTAATCCCAGCTACTCTGAAGGCTGAGGTAGGGGAATTGCTTGAACCTGGGAGGTGGAGGTTGCAGTGAGCCAAGATCACACCACTGCACTAAAGAAAGAAAGAAAAATTAGCTGGGCAGGATGGCTTGAGACTGGGAGATGGAGGGTGCAGTGAGTTGAGATCTCACTACCACACTCCAGCCTGGATGACAGAGTGAGACCCTATCTCAATTTTTTTTAAAAAAGTACTAAGAAGCCCTATATCAATATTATCTTTCTTGATAACAGGTATAGCTGGGCCATCCTGTAGAGCATGTGGTCTGTTCACATTCAGACAGGGCAGAAAGCCTACACATTGCTGGACAGTGTTTAAAAGTCCAAGTGCAATAACGTGTTAATGAATATTAAATCAGTGGTAAAGAAACCCACTATGATATACTTCTCATTGTTCACAGAGGTCTTATGGGAGAGAGACTCTTGGAAAGTAAAAAAGATCATCAGCTTGGAGAAATTTTGACCCAGGTTCCAGATGACATGCTGAAGAAGAAAACTCCTCTTCGAGTAAAATCACGTGGAGAAGTCAGCATGGGTCATGCATCCCTTAGAAGTCACCTCAGAGCTGACACTGGACACAAGCCATATGAGTATCAGGAATATGGACAGAAGCCGTATAAATGTACATACTGTAAGAAAGCCTTCAGCGATCTCCCCTACTTTCGAACACACGAATGGGCTCACACTGGAGGGAAACCTTATGACTGTGAGGAATGTGGAAAAAGCTTTATTTCCCGTTCAAGCATTCGAAGACACAGGATAATGCACAGTGGAGATGGACCCTATAAATGTAACTTTTGTGGGAAAGCCTTGATGTGTCTCAGTTTGTATCTTATCCACAAACGAACTCACACTGGAGAGAAACCATATGAATGTAAACAATGTGGTAAAGCCTTTAGTCATTCTGGTAGTCTTCGAATTCATGAAAGAACGCACACTGGGGAGAAGCCTTATGAATGCAGTGAATGTGGGAAAGCATTCCATAGTTCCACATGCCTTCATGCACATAAAATAACTCACACTGGGGAGAAGCCATATGAATGTAAACAGTGTGGGAAAGCCTTTGTTTCTTTCAATTCCGTTCGATATCATGAAAGGACGCACACTGGAGAGAAACCCTATGAATGTAAGCAATGTGGGAAAGCCTTCAGATCTGCCTCACACCTTCGAACACATGGAAGGACTCACACTGGAGAGAAACCTTATGCATGTAAGCAATGTGGGAGAAGCTTTGGATGTGCCTCGAGTCTTAAAATGCATGAAAGGACTCACACTGGAGAAAAACCCTGTAGTTCCAGCAATTTGGAAGGCCGAGGCGAAAAGATTGCTTAATTCACATAAGATTCCTTGAAGCCACGGAATCCAATCATGGCAAAAATGTGTTTCCCTCAAATAATGGGAAATATCAGAAAATGATTCTGAAGCTTCTGCAGTCACTGTCATCTGACAGCATCACAAATAAATGCCAGTAACCCAAGAGCAAAAAGTTTTGGGGGTCAGTTTAGCTGATGCCTCACTCTGAGACCTAGGACACAGAGTTGGAAATAACTCTTAAGAGAGACACAACTCAAACAGGCTCACTCAAACAGTGACTCATGCCTGTAATCTCAGTATTTGGGGAGGCTGAAGTGGGTGGATCGTGAGGTCAGGAGTTTGAGACCAGCCTGGCCAACATGGTGAAACCCTGTCTCTACTAAAAATACAAAAAAAATTAGCTGGGCGTGGTGGCACAGACCTGTAATCCCAGCTTCTCAGGAGGCTGAGGCAAGAGAATCACTTGAACCTGGGAGACAAAAGGTTGCAGTGAGCAGAGATCACACCACTGCCCTACAGCCTGGGAGACAGAGTGAGACTCTGTCTCAAAAAAGAAAAGGCACACCTCCAGTAAGACCTTAAGAAAAGTGGCAGGTGTATATATACAGAAAAGTCTGTTCCCTCCTATTTAAAGCCCAATACCTAAGCAGCAAGCCCTCACTTTAAGAAGCTCACTGAAGGGATAACTGAGGTACCATTGTCAGACTCACTGCCTCAGAAAGACTTTTATCAAAACAAAAGACTAAAGTTCCTATTCATAAATATCCCTAAAATATCCTATCCCCTATTATAGGATATTAATAAATGGTTGGCTATTGAGTATACTACATATTTTATACCATTCTTTCTCATGAATTTTTTTTGAGATGGAGTCTCGGTCTATGACTGAGGCTGGAGTGCAGTGGTACATTCTTGGCTCCCCACAACCTCTGCCTCCTGGGTTCTAGTGACTCTCCTGCCTCAGCCTCCCAAGTAGCTGATTTACAGGCATGAGCCACCATGCCCAGCCTCTAATCTCTATTTTTTTTCTTTTCTTTTTTTTTTTTTTTTTTTTGAGATAGTCTCACTCTGTTCCCCAGGCTGAAATGTGGTGGTGCAGTCTTGGCTCACTGCAGCTTCCACCTCCTGGCTTCAAGCACTTCTGCCTCAGCCTCCCTGGTAGCTGGGATTACAGGCACCCACCACCACTCCAGGCTATTTTTTTAAATTTTTTAGTAGAGACAGGATTTCACCATGTTGGTCAGGCTGGTCTTAAACCCCTGACCTCAAGGGATTTGCACCAAGGCCTCCCAAAGTGCTGGGATTACAGTTGTGAGCACCATGCCTGGCCTTTTAATCTTTTTTTTTTTTTTTTAGATGGAGTCTTGCTCTGTCACACAGGCTGGAGTGTATTGGCACGATCTCGGCTCACTGCAACCTCTGTGTCCTGGGTTCAAGTGATTCTCCTGCCTCAGCCTCCCACATAGCTGGGATTAGAAGCGGCACCACAGTACTGGGCTAATATTTTGTATTTTTAGTAGAGACAGGTTTTCTCCACGTTGGCCAGGCTGGTCTTGAACTCCTGACCTCAAGTGATCCACCTGCCTCAGCCTCCCAAAGTGGTGGGATTACAAGCCTGAGCCACTGCACCAGGCCTAATCTCTTTTTAAAGTACATTTTTCTTTAATGAATGTCTTAAATGAAAACCATTTTTCTTTTTTTTTTTTATGGAACGCTTCACGAATTTGCATGTCATCCTTGCGCAGGGACCATGCTAATCTTCTCTGTATCGTTCCAATTTTAGTATATGTGCTGCCGAAGCAAGCACTTACTTTATTTTTTTTGAGACAGTTTTGCTCTTGTTGCCCAAGCTGGAGTGCAGTGGTGCAACTCGGCTTACTGCCACCTTGGCCTACCGGGTTCAAGCGATTCTCCTGCCTCAGCCTCCCGAGTAGATGGGATTGCAGGCATGCGCCACTGTGCCTGGCTAATTTTATATTTTTAGTAGAGACAGGGTTTTGTCACATTGGCCAGGCTGGTCTCAAACTCCCAACTGGGTGGTCTGCCTGCCTTGACCTCCCAAAGTGCTGAGATTACAGGCATAAGCTACTGTGCCCAGGCTGAAAACCTTTTTTCTAATCACAAATATTTTTCTTTTTTATTTTATTTATTTCCTTAGAGATTTGGTCTTGCTGTGTGGACCTAGCTGGAGTGCAGTGGTATTCATAGGTGTCATCTTAGTGCACTAGAACTTCAAATACCTGGGCTCATAATCCTTCTACCTCACCCTGCCAAGTAGCTGTCACTACATGTGTCAGCTGCTATGCCTGGCTTCCACTTTTTTTTTTTTTTTTTTTAATCTTTAATCAGTTCCCTTTAAAGACCAAAGAAGACTTTTCCTCTTGTGTGGCCTGTGTTGATCTATGAACAGTGTTCACTATGACCCAGGAAATCCCACAAAGTCATGCATGTTAGAAGGATGAAACCCTCATGTTCACTGTAAGGACTCCTGTGAAGGTGCTCAGGCCATCATGGGTATGACTAAATGAAAAGCCGCCAAGTATCTGAAATATTTTCTTTTACAGAAATTATATGTACCATTGCAACCTTAGAAGGTGGAGTTGGTAGCCGTACCCAAGACAACCAACACTGGGGCTGGACTCAGCATCAGTGGCCCAGAAGAGGTACTGGAATGTGCTTAAAAATGCAGAGTTATGCTGCATTTAAGGGTATAGATGTAGATTGCCTGGTTATTGAGCACATCCAGGGGGAACAAGGCACCCATTAATGTATCACTTGACTTACAAAACTCATGGGTAGAAGAACCCATCCACAGACTCCTGCGATATCCAGATGATGCTTAGTGAAAAGAAACACATTGTTCCAAAAGCAGAAAAGGAGATGAGTGTACAGAAGAAAAAGATACCCCACAAGAAGCATAAACTTAAGAGACAAATTCAGCAAAAGAAAATGCAAATAAAACTTCAAAACAAAAAAACAACTTTAAAAATTCATAAAACACAAAATGACATACTCTGTTATAAAGTATGCCTTTATGATAGCTTGCTGATAAAAGTTGGCTATAATAGGTGAAATGAAGATAGCTGTTGGTGACCGGCAGATTCTGGGTCTATGATAGGTCAGAGAAGGATGCTTTTCACTTTGTTTTACATTTTTTTAATGCCTGATGTTGACTTGGTAGAAAGATGATAATAAATTCTTCTGTCTATGTGTTTCTTTTAGATTACTTGTGGACTGAAGAAAAAAATTTGTTAGTTTGATTTAGGATTGTGACTGAGGACAATAGCCTGGAAGCAGTTCTGACAGCTGCTATGCCGTGTTTTGGTTCACACTTTAAACAGACATGTGGGCCCTGTGCTCTACCTTGGTTTTTCTTCAAAGCATATTTCTGAAGAGCTGCAGAGTCCCTAAGTCAGGAATGTTATAAAGTCAGGCTGGAAACCAGAAATAGGTAAACATGACTAAGTTGTTTTTTTTTTTTTTTTTTTTTTTTTTTTTTT